TTGAGTGGCTCCCATTATGATCCTTGCAACCCAGGACCTGTAAAGTTAATCTGCCCTATGTGTTTAACAACTGAACTTTATTACCCAACTATATAAAAAAAAATTGAAATAGACCCTTCCCACCCCAGGCTGCAGGCATCCTGTGATACAGACATCCTGTTCGTCCTTTTTGGAAATAAGTATGTATGGATTGGGCTGGGTGTGCTTGACCCTGAGTCACGCAGGCTGTCATTTTTTGTGCTTTTTGTTCTTGCATGAAAATTTTTCCTGAGATGAAACGAGAGGGTGGGCCAGGGTGGGGCGACTTGGTCACCTTGTTGCCCAATGCCAGGAACATTGCCTGATGTAAGGGGTGGTTGTGTGAAGAGGCAGGCCTAGAGAGCAGCTGGGATGGAAATTTCCAGACGGGTGGTGTGGTCTTGCTCACAGCATAATGACTGGTGCTCTCCAACTCTGTGGAGGCCAGAAAAAGAGGAAATGGGACTGAATCTGAGTGGCTATAGTGGCTGCTGGCTTGCGGGGAATTCTGCTTTCTGGGCAATGTCACCCATCTGAACTACCGCCGAGAGCCAGGCAGGGATCCCCAGACGGCCCTTGTCCAGCCAGAATTGTCACAGAGGTCATGCACAAAACCCCTGCTTGGTGTCCATCTTCTCTTATTTTGCAGGCGATTCTGTTGGTTATTTATTGTTTAAGTATCTAGCAGAATCAAAGTACTATAGGCAAGGCAGGAAGAAGTAGCCATCAACCATCAAGAAGGGTTTTCAAAAAACACAAAAAGCTGTCTGAAAATCCTGAAGAAGCACTATCTAGAGCCATTCCGTGAAAGTCTAAGGGGGCCAGTAACATTTCAGGGGCATACTTTTATCATAATTCATATGTATGCATATTTCTGAGTTGGGGTCTCAACTCTGTCATCCAGGCTGGAGTGCAGTGACACAATCACAGCTCACCACAACCTCAGCCTCTTGGACTCAGGCAATCCCTCCATGTTGGCCTCCTCAGTAGCAGGGGCTATAGGTACATACCTGGCTAATTTTTTGGTTTTTTTGTAGAGATGAAGTCTTGCTATGTTGTCCAGGCTGGTCTTGAACTCCTGGGCTCAAGCAGGCCTCCCACCTTGTCTCCCAAAATGCTGGGATTACAGGCATGAGCCACCGTGAGTGACATAATTCATATTTTTGATGATGACCCTGTTTAGGAAGTTACAAATAGCTTCCTGTACAAAAGTAGGGACATTTGTGTTACATTTTGATGAGTTCTATAACTAGAGAAAGTTGGTGCAATCATAAAATTATTTGGTAGATGGAAAATAATTCACTGTTTTAATTTTCTGTTATTAAGTTTAAGCATCTTTTCATTTCTTCTCTGAATTGTGCATTATTCCTGTAGAACTTTTTTCCTTATTGATTTGTAAGAGCTCTTTACATATTAAGGATAATAGCCTTTTCTCTATTATATTTGTTACACAGACTCTACTCCCCCCAGCCCCAGCTTGTGCTTTGGTTGGTGGAAGGATTTCCCCCTGCCCCATATAGGAAGTTTCTGGGTTTTTTAAAATTTATTTTTTATTAAAAAAATTTTTTTTGAGTTGCCCCCAACAGGTCTCACTCTGTTGCCCAGGCTGAAGAGCAATGGCACAATCATGACTCACTGCAGCCTTGATCTCCTGGGCTCAGGTGATCCTCCTGCCTCAGCCTCCTGAGTAGCTGGGACCACAGATGCGTGCCGTCACGCCGAGCTAATTTAAAAAAATTTTTTTATGGTGATGAGGTCTCACCATGTTGCCCGGGCTGGTCTTGAACTCCTGGGCTCAAGTGATTCACCTTCTTCTGCCTCCCAAAGTTCTAGGATTATAGATATGAGCTACCGCACCTGGTCTCTGTTTATTATAATCAGATGTATTAGTCTTTTCCTTAGGCCTCTGGATTGAGTAGTAGCATGCTTAGAAAAAACCTCCACTAAACAGAAGAGGCCATTTGCTAGGTGTTCCAGGTAACCAAGGCTTTACTGGATTTAGAATCTGTGCCTATTCGAATTGGTTCTGTGAAATAAGATGGTGGAGTCATTTCCGATTTTTCTTTTTTCTATTTTTTAATTTTTTTTGAGTTGGAGTATCACCCAGACTGGAGTGCAGTGGCCGCTCCTGGCCGCCGCAGCCTCGACCTGCTGGGCTCCAGCGATCCTTCCACCTTAACCTTCCAAGTAGCTGGAACTATGGGCACGCGCTACCACGCCTAGCTAATTTTTTGATTTATTGTAGAGATGAGGTCTCGCCAAGTTGCCCAGGCGAGTCTCAAACCCGCGGGCTCAGGCAATCCACTCACCTCAGCCTCCCAAAGCGTGGGATTACAGGCTGAGCCACCGAGCCCGGCTCGATTTTTCTTTTTTAAAGACAGCTCCCTTTCTCCCTGGGAGTAAGATGATGAACTAGAAAATCCTCCAAATCCCCTCCCTCCCTCCAGGCAGATAGGTTCTAGATGGCATTTTAAAGACCTTGTTTGCTGACAATTAAAGAAAAAAAAAAAAACAAGTTTGGGGAGAACTGCAAAACTGGTCAAACTGGTTAATTTTGGGCAGGGCTGCATTCTGTAGGAAAGGTAAGGCCGGATAACCTGGTAGAAGTGTGCTATGCTCTGTTCAGAGCGGGCGCACACTTGAATTTAAACTATTAGAAAGACCACCATATGCTTGGGAATTAAAATTATCTTCTGGTTTTCCTGTCAGAGTTTTCCTGTTTTCCTTGAGTTCACACAAACCGATGGAGACAGTCTAGAAAGAAAGGTGAGGGTGCCATGGAACTAGTCTTGGCTCTGAGTTCGTGACATTCATGTGACCCTGAGCTTTGCTGGGCTTGGTGTCCTTGGATTGCACCAAAGGCAAACATAAGCCCAGGGCTTCCAGTGGACGATGCTGCAACAGGCTTCGGCCAACTGAACCTGGAGCATTTCCTGTTTGCACAGCATCTCTGGACTTAGGAGTGAAGGGCCTCAGCCTGCAGCAGTTAAGTCACTTGGCCAAACTCACACCAGAGCCAAGATTCAAACCCAGTACCAGCGGCCTCTAGGTCACTCACTGTGCCGCTGCTGCATCAACCACAGGCAACCCACTCTCGGATGCTTCCCAGTCAGCTTCATGTGCACGATTATGGGTACACAGAGGGGCCTTTCCTGCCGGTGGTTTGTCTTGGTGTGGTGTGGAAGTAGATTCTGAGTCACGTTCCCAGCCCCTGCCTCAACTCTCCTCTCTGTGGGGTTTGTCTCCCAGCCTCAGAAATGCACTTGGGGCACCACGTTCTTCCCTGCAGTTGAGCAGAAGCTCTGGCTCTGTGTGGTGGCCACACACACAATGACAGCTGCTTTTGGGCCCAGCTCCTGCTGACCACAGCAGCCTTGTGACCCTCATAGCGCACTGTCAGGAGAATGCAGAACAAAAAGCCTTTCTCCCTACCACCAGGGCAGGGCCGCTCAGAACTGCACAAGAGTCATTTTCAGGGACCCTGGATAACATTTTTCTGCATCTCTAAACTGCATGTTGAATGATTTGAGTCATTGAGAAAAGCTAATAAACCACCCATGGTTGATGACTTTCTGCCACCAAGCCCTCATTCTGTGTCATCTCCATTGGAAGACTTTGGTTGAAAATCAGCCTGTAGCAGTCAGCAATCATGGCTGGCACTCTGAGCACTCACTCTGCGTGCACGACACCTCTCCTCCTCACAGCAACCCTGCAGAGGACTCCCATTTTATAAGCAGGGAAACTGAGACTCTGGTCCCTTAACATAGCCTCTGCCATCTGGGTTGAAAGGGTGCGTAAAACCAGTGTCGGGAGGATCTGAACTACAAGAGCACACATAGACAAAGAGCCTGGTGGGGAAACTCACCAGTAGATTCTGCATTTCCCACAGTCCATTCACTCATTCATTCCACAGATGTCACCCAAGGACCTACTGGCGTCAGGCACTGGCTGGGTGCTGGGGCCGCAGCAGGGAACCAAGACAAGCAGGTCCCTGCTTCCTCAGAGCTCAAGTCTGGCGAGCAGGATGGTTGGTAAACAATGTGCTACACACGCAACTATCAGTGCCGTAACAGTGACATGGTCTTGGGGGAAAAGGTAGAAAAAGAAATAGGACTTTTATAAGCAGAAAAAACCTGACGTTGTTTTTTCCAGTATTTTCTGTGAAGAAATTTAAACAGCAAAGTGAAAGGAATTTTATAGCAAATACCCATATACCCACCATCTAAATTCCACCAGTAATGTACCAGTAGTATTTTACTGTACTCATCCACTCCTCTATCCAGTAATCCAGTGTAAACCTTTGGATATGATGCTTTTCTTTTTTTTTTGAGAAGGAGGTCTTGCCATGTTGCCCAGGCTGGTCTCAAGCTCCCCCCACCCCCAGCCTCCTGAGTAGCTGGGACTATAGGCACATGCCATCGTGCCCAGCTCATTATACATTTTTGAAGGATAAGGATGACAAGTGTTGGCTGGAGCTGAGGAGCAGCCAATCTCTGGATGGGTTTTGCCAGTCCCCATGCAGCCCATCCATGACGACTGCCTGGCTCCCGTGAGAGTCGGAATTGGTGACCCCTGCCTGCACCATCAGGAGGGCAATGTCACTAGCAGAGGAAAGAAAGTCTTGGCTATCTTATGTGATTATTTAAGTTGAGAATGTGCTGTCCTTTCAGGGAGCCAGTGGTAGAGACACCAGGAGAGAGCACCTTCTAGGGCTAGCAGGCTGTGTGACCTCCCCAGGCTGGCCTCCACAGGCCAGTGGTACAGACATCAGGCAAGGTTCAAGGGTGAGGGGCGGTCGCTCCATGAGTGCCCTTGGTGGGCCTGTCTGGGAGGCCACCACACCCAGGGTTAGGTCACCTGTGTCCCTGGCCCAGCACCTCTGAGCTGCTTCTGTGATGGCCACCCTCGGGAGGCTCCAGTCCAGCGCCTGGGGGCAGATTTGCCATCACAGACATTGGAGGAGGTGTAGGCTCTGAGCGGAGATGGCCTGTGGCTCAGTGTGGGGACTGGCACCCAGAGCCCGCAGCAGGGTACAGCAGTGGCCCAGGCCCCAGGAGCAACTTGGGTGGGAGAGTGGAGGGTGGTGGGATGTAGGTCAGGTCAAAGTCCTCCTGCTCAGCGGAGGTTCTGGGGGACCTGGTGGCTTCTACTCATGGTGGCCTCTGCTGGACCACAGAGTTTGACCCTGGTGATGATATGAAGTCATAACAATGACTAATGTCCATTTGTTGAGTGTTACCACACTGTGCACTCTGCTAAGTGTGTTCAGTGCATTACACTTTATTTTTGATTCTTACGACAACTCTGTGAAATAAGTACTATGATTGCTGCATTTGCCAGGCGAGGAAACTGAAGCACACAGAGTCAAGGAGGCTTCCTCACTGGGGTGTGGCCAGGCAAAGATTTACAGCCTGTCTGTCTGAGTCCCTACTCCACCTTCTTTCCGTTGGGTTAGGGGATGTTTCATTTACAGTGGCAAAAGCTGGCTCTCCCACATACCTCTTTTCTTTCACAGCTGCAATTACAGGTTCCAGACGGCCAGCCAGGTGTGCTGAATCACCTTGGGTGGAATTTGGCCTGCAGAAGTTCCTCCCCCAACTTCCCACCCCCAGCGGTTAGCTGGCACTCACACCAAGGTTCCCGCATAACCTCCTGGGCACTGACATGTCCATCCTGTGGGGTTTGGCACCCACCTCTGGCTGGCTCTGGGCTTTGTGTCCCCTGGCCTCTGTATTGGGGCCAGTGAGCCCACTTTCCTCGACAGTGAGGACAGTGAGGTGTCAGGGAAACATGGCTGTCTGTCTTCAGGATTGAGGGGGTAGTCCATGGTGAGCCTGCTTAGCAAAGAACCTGCCTGCTGCCTCTGCACCCAGCCCTTGGTAAGGAGCTCTGGCTGGCATGGTGTCCTGGTCCCTATGACAACAGCCTGCCACAGGGGTGACAGAGGAGGAGAAGGAGGAGAGGCAGGCAGCAGACTGCTCACACTTTACATGGAGCCCTGGAGTCCCAGGCATCACTCTGCAATTTCTAGGTCTACATTTCAGCAATTTGAAGGTGTCACCTATTGCACAGTGCTCATGACCCACAAAGAAAGGAAAAACGCCTCCATCTAAGAACATCCTGCAGGGTGCAGTGGCCCACACCTTTAGTCCTAGCTACTCAGGAGGCCGAGGAGGGAGTATCACTGGAGGCCAGGAATTTGAGACCAGCCTGAGCAACAAAGCAAGACGCCACCTGTACAAAAAATATAGCCAGGCTGGTGGCATGTACCCATAGTCCTAGCTATTTGACTGGGACTGAGGTGGGAGGATCACGTGAGCCCAGGAATTCAAGGATGCAGTGAGCTATGATTGCACCACTACACTCCAGCCTGGGTGACAGAGTGAGACCCTGTCTCTGAAAGAAAAAAAAGCAAAACACAACAACAAAAACATTCTGACTTCAGGGATGGACAAATGGTGTGTCTTGGGCTCGGGCTGTTTCAAGGCATCCCTGTCACACCTCTGTGACTGGCTCTGTCACTCTATTTGCTAAATGGGAAGTGGGAAGCTCAGACAAGCCCACACTGCCTCTGTTGACACCTACAAACAACTCTGCCCTCCCTCAGCCACACCATATGACCTCCCCTCACGCCCCCAGCCTTCCATGGCCGTGGGGGTCCTGAAAATCCCCTTGCTGGGAATCTAAACCTCTCTTCTCATTTTGTCCCCAGATTGCCTTGGGTCCCCTGTGTTTACCCCCATCAAGGCCGACATCAGCGGCAACATCACGGTACGTACCTGCCGGCAGCCGCAGCCCCAGTCCCCACCTAAGGAACCTCCATCTGCCTGGACTGCAATCCCCCAGCCCATGGAAGGAGAAGGAGGCTTGGGGATTGAGGTTGTCATCCCTTGTCTGCAGTCATGCTGTCTAGTCAGCAGCCCAGCCAGACTGGGATGGAAGTCTAACAGATTTCTTCCTCCACCCCACAAAATAGGCAGTGAACTCCAGAGTTCATGGGTGATATCAGGTCAACTTTCCCCTTCCCCAGCCCTGGGAGTTCCTGGTGCCGTCCCTCAGCCATAGACCCCACACCACATGAGGATCCATGTCAGGCCCAGTCAGGGCTCGGGACACATGGGATGTCACTTCTCCATCCCAGCAGCCTTGAGGCTGGCTCTGTTGCTCACCCCTCTCTACAGATAAGGAAGCTGAGGCTCAGAAGTGTTGAAGGACCCACTTAAGGTCATACAGCAAGTAAGTGGCAGAGCTGAGCCTGCCTGGCTTCAACTCAGAGGCCTTTGTTCCTGGACATCTTTGAATTCCAAGAGCCTATTTCTGTTTGTCCACAGAAGCAAAATTTCAGATACGTGATGTCTGAGGCAGTGTCAATAGTGGTTAGGGAATATGGATCCTGGAGCTGACCTGGGCTGGAGCCCAGTCCCATCTGTGTCAGCTGTGAGGCCTTGGGCAAGTCACTGCTCCCTTTGAGCCTCAGCGTCCTCATCTGTCAAATGGGTTGCCATGAGGATCCTGTAAGACAGGGCCTGTAAAGTCTCAGCCCTTGGGAGGGGCTCAAGAAATGTGAACAGTTGTGGTATTACTGCTTTGGCAAGTCTTGTCCATGAAGGTAGCTTTTCCAAGGGGAAAACCCTGTGTGCTCCATTTCAGAAAATCAAAGCTGTATATGACACCAACCCTGCCAAGTTCCGGACCCTGCAGAACATCCTGGAGGTGGAGAAGGAAATGTATGGAATAGAGTGGCCCAAAGTGGGGGCAACACTGGCGCTGATGTGGCTGAAAAGGTGATGGCCTCAGGTGGCAGGGCCTGGGGTCCCTGCATGCAGGAGAGGGAAAGCAAACCCTGCCCCTGCCCTGCTCTCCCCGCCGGTGTCTGCTCTGGCTGGGAGGGAAGGTTGCTTCGAGCTTGCAGCAGGATGCTAACTCAGGGCTGAGAAAACGCCTCCCACCACTGAGGCTTGCCTGTGGTGACACTTCTTTGTTCTAGTCCCACCAGAGCATAGCCAGGGAACACATACTCCACCCTGGGCATTGTGCTAAGCTCTTTATATGCCTGATCGAACTTCATGTGCTATGAGTTCCATGTGTTAGCTACCATACCTCACGAAGGAGGCCACACTCACGTGCCCAGGCCATCCAAAGTAGATTTGCATATTATGACATTTTCTTCGTAGAAAGATAGCATCTTGAGGAGGTCTGTCTCATTGCACAGATGTACTCTATGGGCTGCAGGTGGGACACCCTGATTTGAGCCCATGCAGACTCCTCAGTCCTCAGCCCAGCACTGCTGTCCCTTTGAGGACCCCCACCCCGACCTGACCCCACCACAGGGAGGGGGCAGAGCAGCTCATCCTGAACCCCAGTGGGACAGTGAGGGGCAGCGAAGCAAGGAGCCCGGCTGGGAGTGAGACAAGTTGGGCTCATGTCCTGGCCTGTGACTGAGCCTTTTGGGGGAGCTTAGTGCCTTCCTCTGTGAAATGGGCTGGTTTTGCCAAGCTCAGCCTCCATGGGCTGAGGAGAGCAAGAGACGAGGCAGTGCACTAAAGGGTGACCCTGTCAGATTTGCAATCTGGGCTACCTGCTGTACCCCACACTCTCCTCCTGGCTGTCAAAGCATTGCCCTGCCACTTGAGGATGTGCTGCAGTGGCCATGGAGGCTACAGACTGGGCTCAGGGCAGTGGGGGCCATGGCCTGATCTCAACTGGAGGAGCAGTGTCACAGATGTAGAAAGATCCTGAGGGCTGCAGGATAGAGGCAGCAAGCCTGGTGGGCGTGGGGGTGGTCTCATTGGCATCCAGCATGTCCATGGTCTGTGGCATTACAGGCCCTTTGAGGGCCAGCGCTGTGGCTTCGTCCTCCAAGCACTGATGGCCGCCTGCCATGTGCCAGCCTGTGAGAAGTCACATGACCACAGAAAGGGGCAGTGTGGACCCAGACCCCATCTTCCTGGATCTTACAGCCAGAGGGACCATCACCCTGGGTCAGCACTAGGGCCAGGGAGAGAAGGTACTCGGGGGATGCTGAGTGGAGCCAAGGGACCGTGTCACTTGGAAGGGAAGGGAAGGATCATTCTGGATCACCACTTTCTTTTGTGTGTGCATGCTCCTGGCTCCTGAATTCAGAGCCTCTCGGGTCTGCCATGATGGGCGTGCTGGCTTGTCACAAGGCAGGCGCATGCAGCGTCCTAAAGAGCCATATCCTCTCTGGGCCGCAGAGGCCTCCGCTTCATCCAGGTCTTCCTTCAGAGCATCTGTGACGGGGAACGGGACGAGAACCACCCCAACCTTATCCGCGTCAATGCCACCAAGGCCTACGAGATGGCCCTCAAGAAGTACCACGGCTGGATCGTGCAGAAGATCTTCCAGGTGAGCCAGCCACAGGCCCCAAAGGACTCCCAGCCGGCGGGCCCCACCACCCGCTCTGCACTGCTCGGCCATGACCTCCTAGAGTCTGCTTCTGCCCCCTGGTGCTCAGGAAGGACTCCCCTGTCTATCTGGGGATGAGGCTGGTCTACTCTGGGGTCCCTCTTATGGCCAGCCCTGTTTGTGACCATGGTGGGCGTGGTAGGTGTTACTGCAGATACTCCGAGGTATGTGTTTTTGTTTTGAGACAGAGTCTCACTCTATCACCCCAGGATGGACTGAAGTGGCACAATCATAGCCCAGACACCTGGGCTCAAGCGATCCTCCTACCCTAGCCTCCTGAGCAGCTGGGACTACAGGCATATACCTCCATACCTGGCCAATTTTTGAATGTTTTGTGGAGACAGAGTCTTGCTCTGTAGTCCAGGCTGATTTAGAACTCCTGACCTCCAGCACTTCCCTCACCTCGGTTTCTCAAAGCATTCTGGGACACAGGTGTGAGAAACCAGGGCAAAACCTCTTGAGGCCTCTTGAGGTGGCCTAGCCTAATTGGCTCTTCTGCTTCGGCCTGGGTTTTCACATGGAGCAGGGAGGGGAAGAAGTGTCCCTGCCCCTTGGGCATCTGCCAAGAGGACACTGGCCCTCAGGGTTCTTGGTGGCTTGTGTTGGGGTGACATCGGCCAGGCTCCTGAAGTGGGAGACTTTGGCACCAGCCTGGGCAGCTGAGAGCCCACTTGGGAGCCACCAGAAGGCCCTCGGGTGGCATTCCCTGCTGCTGCCAGCCATCCTGCCCCTGGCTGCCGCATCACCTCCCCCCGTGTGGCCTCGCCCAGCTGTGTGGCTGCCCTTTCTGCTCATCCTTGGGGCCATGAGACCCAGGCTGTGATGGGCCAGTGTCTTTCCCATGAGGCACAACTGCAGGCAGGCTGGGCGGGAGTCAGGCTGGTCCAGGCAGGAAGAGCTGGTCATGGGGCAGAACACACAGCTGTCTCCGAGTGATCCACACCAGCAGGGCTGAGGCAGGGGCCGTCCTGGGTGGGCACCTCAAGAGCCCTCCACCCCCACTGTGTGTTCCCCCAGGAAGCTTCACGACTACCACCTCAACAGTAGCGGCGTGTCCCATGTCCCTGGCCCGGGGCAGCCACCCATGAGTTGTGCTTTTCACAGACACACCATGAGGGGGGCCCCTTCTCACCCCATTTCACAGACAAGGCAGTGGCACTCAAATAAGTTGAATATCTCGCTCAAGGTCACATACCTCAAAAATGGGGGCTGTGATTCTGCCTTCCTTGGCCTCAGTATCCCTGTCTCTCAGATGAGCGTCAGATAGGCCCTACCTTGAAAGGGGGCGTTGTGTAGACTACAGTTGACCTGCGTAGGGTGCCTGGCATATGACTGCGCTTAGCAGATGGGAGCTACTGTGACTCTTCCCCCCCCGCCATATCTGGGACTTTTATTATCCTGACAGGCCCCTAACCTACACTCCTTATCCAGGGTGCCTTTTTCTTCTGGCTCTGAGGTTCTGTGAATTTCTGATCCTCCACGTTTTTTGAAGTATCAGAGCAGCCTTGAAATCTAGGCGAGTGTCGTCCCCGCAAGGACAAAAGAGAGACCACAGCCCAGATTAGCTGCCATCTCCCCAGTTCAGAAAGGGAGTTTTCAAAAGCAGCAGCTCACCTTTTCCAGAGGAGGGAACCCAGAGAGTAGAGGCTGAGCACCTACTGTACACCTGGTGCATGCTGAGCACTTTGCACAACCTCCCTCATCCTTGTCAAAGCAGCCAGATTGGGTGAGTCCCATTATCATCCCCATTTTGCAGGTGAGGAAACAAGCTCAGAGAGGCTAAATCACTTGCTCAAGGCTCACAGCTAGTCAGTGGCACAAGCTGGAATTGGCACCCAGCTCTGTTCCCAAAGCTGACGTCTTTCCTGCTGTCCCTCATGGGGGTAGAAGGGAAAACACATCTTCCTTTTCTTCTCCTTTCCCTTCCAATGCCACACATTGCACAGACCCCTGTCCAGCATGGACCTGGGCAAGTCCCCTCCCAGAGCCTTGATGTGTAGGCCTGGGTCTCACTGCTAATGCTGTGCCCTGCTCCCCTTTGCCATCTAAAGGCAGCACTGTACGCAGCCCCCTATAAGTCCGACTTCCTGAAGGCTCTCTCCAAGGGGCAGAACGTGACGGAGGAGGAGTGCCTGGAGAAGATCCGTCTCTTCCTGGTCAACTACACAGCCACCATCGATGTCATCTATGAGATGTACACCAAGATGAATGCTGAGCTCAACTACAAGGTGTAGGTGCCCATGGCAGCGCCAGCACCTGATGACCGCGGGCAGAAACAGGCAAACCCGAGTCACTGTGAATCCTGCCAGGGGCAGCCCCCAGCGCTGCCCAGGATCCTGCCAGGGTCTTCAGGAAACAGCCCTGGCTTTTTAAAAGTCTTTTTTGGGGGGTCTATTCTAATGGAGCAATAAATAAGCTCACTTCCAAATCTCCTTTGAACTTCACAACAGACTTTAGACCTTCATTTCAGTGTGATAAGAATTGATTAACATTGCTACTAAATCAGGTCCTAGGGTTTTGGGGGTTTTGTTTTCTCGCCAGTGAGGAGCACGGCTCTGGGGACATGGTGACAGCCACCTCACTTTGCAATAAGCATGTGTCCTGTGAGGAACTGAGGAATGACGTGAGGGTATTTTAAGGACCATGAAGCACTGATCGGAAATACGCAGGGCCCCTCTTGTGGGATCATTCAGATGTGAGCCGGTGTTCATTCCGTGGGGTCTGCACAGCCCAGCTGCACAGCACTGTCATTACCAGCCCTGCTCTCATCTCTTGCCAGACCATGTTTTTAGAGCTGAGACCAACCAGCAAGCCTTTGATGACCAAGGGGCGTTGCTCTTCAAGCTACGGGGCACAGTTGACCACAGAGGACTGTATTTGCAGACTTCTGCAGAACCATTTTCTTCAAGGACAGCTTTTCCAACCTAAGAAATTACCTACTGTGTGTGTTCTTTGGAGGGGGAGAGAGAACCCTCCAGCAGCTGAGACCCAAGAAAACGCCTTGATGCCTTAACTGTCCTTCCTGGAGCTACAAAGAGCCGTATTTTTTAAAAGTGTTTGGGGGCAACCCCAAAGGGTAGATGTTAAAAAAAAAAAACCCAATGAGGAACAATTGGTGATTTTTATGCAGAAACTAAATAATCCTTTACAAATAAATCTCTATTTTGGAATCATGTCTGTGTACTGTTTGGGTTCTTGATTCTTTTTATTTATTTATATTTTTCCTGCAGCAGAGGTTACAGCTGGGGACTCTTATACCAAATCCTGCCAAGGGCCTGGTTTCTGGCCTCCACAATTTTAAAACATAGAATGGGAATTTCACATAAAAATCTTTGGTTCCTAGCTTTTGAAAAATCAGGCTGCCTGGCAGGAGCAGAGAGATAACTGCCCCCTTGGCTAAGCAGGGCAAGGGAGGAGGGCAGCTGTTCTCCACTTTGCCTCAATCCCCAGTCATCCCTCTTGCTTTTCCAGCCCCATGATCAATGGTTATTTGCGCTTTATCATGAGCTAGTTTTTTTGGTTTTTTTTTTTTTTTTTTTAACAATTCTAGAGTTAAAGGAAGAAGGAAATACTTGTTTTATTTTGTTTCTGCTCCTACAGAGTTTATAGTCTGTAGACTACAGAACGTAGGAGCAGAGTTTATAGTCTGTAGAGCTTACAGACAGAAGAGACCAGTAAAATCAATAAGGATGATATAGAGTGGTCATTGCCCAGAAGGAGCCTGGGGCCACAGATGGGAGATAAAGACCCAATGGCTTGACCTGGAATTTGCTGACTCTGTGTGTGTCACATTGCATGATCAAGGGGTTTGAATTTGACCCAAAAGTTACGGAACATCTTCCAGGCTCTTGTGCACTGTCGAATATAACCATATGTATTCAGATACCCAGTTTGGAAAGCTCCCTCAGGCATGATCATGAGATGGAAGCCTGAACTGTTTCTCTGGCCTCTGATCTCATTATATTCTGGAATATTGCTGATATTAGGAATGCTACTGTTCTTTCTAAGCTCTCATTGCTTTTCAGGTTTTTTCCCTTTGGGTCTCCTAGAAGTTCAAAATTCTGTCAGCAAATTAAGCAAATTCTTCTCTTCGTTTAAAAATTATATTTTTTTCATGTTTCTAACAATACAATGAGACTGGGAGGGCAATTTCTTTGTGGAAGGGAGGGATTTTCCCAGGCCAGCTCGCTTCACTCCTGCTACCTGCTGGGACCCTGGGAGCATTTTGAGTTTAGTTTAATTTTGTTGTGTTTTTATTTTTAGATACACTGACATTTTGGGGGTCTGACATCGGAGACAAAAGGTGGTATTCCTCTATGTCCTTCCCATGTTATCCTTGTCAAAGGGGAACTGAGTCCTGCCTGGGTCAGGGAGGAAAGAACACACGCTAAGCACCAGCTATATACAAGGCCTTGCCCACATTGTTTGATGACCACCTGAGATGGGATCAGGAGCTGTCAGACAAGGAAACGGAACCCCCCGGGGGGTATGGCAAAGGGACTTGCCATGAGTGACCCCACCAGATGTAGGGGCGCCAAGGTTTTGTGTCTGACTCCAAATCGCTCCTCAGCCATGTCCACTTATGTGCCAGCTGGCAGAGTGAGCCCACCATCAGCACACAGGGCGTTCCTGCAGAGGGGAAGCTGCCTTATGTGACCCAGATCAACCTGCTAACGCACAGAAACCCAAATGAGCTCGGAAGTTGGACCAATATTGACTCATGTATTCACTCATGGACCCATTCCATTAAAACCCACGGCACCCATGGTAACACAATAGTTCAAACCCACCATAATTCCTCGAGTACAGGCGAGGAACTGAAGTTCACCGTCCAAGACCTCAGTTTCCCTCTCTGTAACACAGAGGCCTTGCCAGCACGGGGTTGTTGCGAGGCTTAAATGAGATGTTCCTATTCGTGGAGCCAGGCACAGTGGCAGGGGCCTGTTGTCCCGGCTACTCAGGAGGCAAAGGCGGGAGGACAGCACGGACTCAGGAGTTCGAGCCCAGCCTGGGCAACACAGTGAGCCTTCCCTCTGGGTGGTCTCAAGAAATAGGGACTATTTGTGAAGCAACGAGAACCGGGTTCAAAGCATAGTAAGCTGCCTTAGCGCTTGGTGAAACTCCAGGGACATGTGTACGTGATGTGGGCGTACGGGAACGCGATCGAGCGTGGGCGTCCTGGCTCTGCTCGGACAAACCACCCCCCTGAGCCTCAGTTTCCCCATCAGCACCATGGGGATCTCAACAGCTTCCGGCTCGCCGAGTCAGCGAAGCCGCCCGCGCAGGCGCTCAGCGGCGTAACCGTTCGAAGGCGGCCAATGACCGTCCTCCGCAGCCGGTCACAAAAGCACTGGGGGGGAGCACCACCCTC